CTCTTCTTCCTCCTCCTGTTCCTCCTCCTACAAAAAAAAAAGAAAAATTGTTATGATACCCATTCAAGATACACAAAAACATAAAAAGTTATGATATTACAAATTATTATTATTTTATTAACAAACAAACAAACAAACAAACAAAAACAAACAAGTGATGTAATAATAAACTTTACATAACAAACAAATTCAAAATTTATTTTTTTATTAATTAATCTCTCTCTCTCTCTCTTTCTTTCTCTCTCTCTAACAAAATTTTATCATTAAACTAAATAAATAGAAAAAAAAAAAATTACCCTTTTAGGTGTTTTTTATATTTATAATCAATAATAAAACTATAATAAAATATATATAAATTGAAAATAATAATAATAATAAACAAATTAAATAAAAAAAAACAATAATAATAATGATATATATATATAATAAACCAAAAGAATATTTTTTTAAAATAAAAAATATTTCATAACTGAGCAACATAAATAACATTTTCTTTTTTTTTTAAATGAAATAAAATAATAATAATGATACTATAAATATCGTTAAGATGATGTTGATGATTGATTGATTGATTGATTGATTGATTGATTAGTTCACAGCCCCATTTTTTTTTTTTTTCAATTATAAAAATACAATTTTAATATCAGAAGGTTTTTTTTGTTTTAATAATTTACATATAAAAATTTTTTTTTTTAATAAAATAATATTATTAATAATAAATTAAATAGTTTACATTTTCATAGGGGGCGTGTTGAGGTTGGGGGGGGCGAAAACGAGGGGGGAGGGGTCGTCGCAAAAGTAAGTTGTTTTTATCATTAAAAAAAAAAAATTGCGAACGAAATCAAAACTTTTTTTTTTGCATTTTAACAAAACTTATTATTATCATTATTGGTTAAACAACCCCTCACATAATTACAAACAATAATAATAATAATAATCGACAAACATAAAGTTTTCTTTTTTCTTTTAATTTAATCAACGGTTTTATGGAAAACAAAAACTCTCGGCTTGAAATTTAAATTTAAATTTTTTTTCACACGTGAAAATTTTTATTCCCCCCCCCCTCCCCCCAAGTAATAAAAGCAAGGTAAACCACCATTTTATTTTAATATATGGTGGAAAAATTAAAAAATAAATATTCTTTTGGCTGTCGCACTGATAAATGCTATTTTAAGTTGAAATATTCGTGATGAAAGGTAGGTAGGTAGGTAGGTAGTACCTTGACTTATCAATGAGAACAAGTAAAATGTTTGACCCGATGTAAAAAAAAAAATTACAAAATTTAAAAATTGTTTTTTTTTTTTAGAACGAATGGAAAATAGTAAAAAAAAAAAAAAATGAATGAAATTTTTCCTTTTTCTTCCTTTTTTTTTTTAGACAAACTTATTTACAAATGGTAACTAATTTTTTCCTTTTTACAACCATATTTCTTGAAATGAATTATCAGTCAATTCTTCTGATGAAAATATTTGTAATTTTTTTAACATTTCCGTGTAAAATATCAATTCGGATGTGACGGTACTGAAACGATTAAAAAAATTATTATCACTATTATCACTTTTCAAAGGAAATTATTAAATAATTAAAATCCTTCATTCACCCGTGTTGTGGTCCCCCGTTATTAACGATATTTAATTTTTTCAATTGATCTCTCAATGTGATTTTAAACGAATTATTTATGTTACTGTACAATTCTTCGATTTGACTCGGTGGCAATATCCCAGATACAGCTTCGTAAAGTTTGGTCAAATGCCTGAAAAACAATAATAATAATAATAATAATAATAATAATAATAATAATGATTACGAATGAATGAAAATATTTATTTATTTTCATTTTTTCAATTACTTTGATATTTTACGAAAATTTAAACTAGGAACTGGTGGTTTGGCTCCCCAATTTGATATCTCGTTTGATATCATGTTGTTGACGATGACGACAACTTTCGAATGTAGTTTGTTTATGTGATCATTCATGTATTTTTTTATTTCGTTTAAATCACTCGGACTAGAATTTTTACCCGAACTTGAATTGTTTACATTAACCGGATTCGTTCTGTACAATATATCTGAAACAAAAGGGAAAATCTGTCAATGGTCGGTAGTGATGGGACTACTGATAAAACGCCACGAGGTAACAAACGATAAACAAACAA